TGTGTGTGTGTGTGTTATGTGTGTATGTATGATTAATATTTGATATAATAAGCTGAAAACATGATATATCATTCAGGTGAATTCCTTTAAAACTGTCCGTTCATTTTGTAGGCCAAGGCAGTTGCTGATGACCAAACATTGTCCTTCTCCGTTAGGCTAAAAGGTCATTGTTCCATCAAACTTGACCTCATTTACTCCTTGTCTGACCCCAGATGAAACCTCGAGGTCAAACTCGACTTGTCCATTGGTTGGCGGGTCAAGTGGGGTACGTATTATGCATGCAGGTTCGAAGTTGTATAATAACAATTTCCAACCAAGGTCAAATAAGTTTCGTATGAATAGTCTCTGCAGCCGATCCTTCGGTGTAGGACCCCATCCCTTATAATAATAATAGGCTAACCCAGAACAACGATAAGGGCGAGCCCAGTATGTTGTGCGTTTAAAACAGCTGAATGAATGCCCTCAATGGCAGTCATATCAGGGGCAGTAACTTGACTATTTCTATCAACTCACAAAAAGTACTCGTGGAGTCGCTCCCCGTCCGCCCTCTTTAAATTCTTGCCAGTCCATCTTAGTCATGGTGTGCCCACTGCGTGTTATTCAAATAATTAATTATAGCCTACTTGCCTAAGCTTTCAAGTTGTTCCTCTTATTTAAAAAATATTCCATTTCTGAATTTGGGATGCAAAATAACTACGAGAGGCAATCTCGTGCCTTCATGATGAACACACAATTCTGAAAAGTTTGAAAATTATAGGCTCCCAAAATAGGGTCTATATATAATATTAATACGTACCCCGAGAGCTGGATCTTCAAAGCCTTTTAATATCCCAGAAATTGCATAGGTCTTCCTGATTTATTTTTTTGTTAAATCAGCGAGTAGCCTACTTGGGCGTCTTCAAGTACTCATACTATACCTCTTTTGATATCTTTTCCTTCCAAAACGTTCTCCGTGGTTTAAATTCCTAAACACCGCATGCAATATCTATAGATCTATTAGCTTCTACTTTATTTTCAAGATAATAGTTTAGTTGAATTCACCACCCTACTGTACTAAGCGATCGCCCTGTCTGCTGATATAAAAGTTTAAATTATACTACCTGGCTTGAATCTCGCCTGCCACAGACATAAAGCACTG